GGGACAAAATAGATATTCATGAATAAATAAATAATTTTTTAAAAAACACAAAATTCGCGATACCTTTTGAACACACCTCGTATACATTTTGTATTTGCAACATACATAACTAAAATTTCAAAAATCTTTCCTTCCGATTTTTTTCTCCAAAACAAGAAATATCATTGCTCAAAACAATAGTTGGATAAATTTCTAAATAAAAACAAGAGCATCAAGTTATTCTCTATTCGGTTCATGGGTTTTTAATAACCAGTATATCCTCGGCGGTTTTTCATAAGTTTTCAAATTCTATTCGGCATGGATTGAATAAATTTTTGGCAGGTTTCCAATTAAATCCCAAAATGGTTTGCTTTCCGCCACAAACGCTAATTATTTTGAAATGAAAAGGTTGCCAATCTATTCTTAAGGTCACTTCGCAATTTCTCAATCACTCGATTGACTCTGCCATTGCATAAAGGCACATTTGCAGCCCTGCACAACTCAGATATCAACCTCGATGTACATATGTTGCGGGTCGTTATATTTCAAATAACATCTTCTCAGTGGGATGTTTGCTTCAGCATGACGTTTTGCAAAATATCTCTGACCACAAAAGCGGACTTTGTGTTCCTTATCCAAAATAGAAGATGGAAATTATACTTTTTGATTGCGTTATTGAAAATTTATTTATTATCATTATTATTATTTATTTATTATCATTATTGTTTATATACATGTATAAATAACGCATTGTAACAGCTGATTAGATCTGTTCCTTTTCAATGGTGAGATTATTGAGACTGTCACGTTCTGAATTGAAAAATCGTCTCAAGTCGCAAAAACTGTCTCTAACTTTAAGTCTCAAATTCAAAGAGTTGTAATTGAATCACAGTCTAAAATCCTGCTGAAATTTTGTCGTAAGGTCACGAAGGTGTCCTTTCTTTCCAGGCCAGGGTTTTTTTTTTTTTGCTTTAGAGCATGATTTACAAAGTCCTTTCTTCTCAGTTCCGGTTTTTCAAAGGACTATACAATCACAAATTCTCCAATACTTAAATTGATATAAAAAATACTAATAACAAATATTACTTACTCCTATTTTAATGGTAAAACCAATTTAATGAGAGAAGGACAAGGTGTCACTCAAACGCAAAATAACAAAATTGTAATACAAATTCACTCTCTACTCTTTTCCCTTCAATGTAAAAATGTAACGGTATCAAAAAACCTAAAAATTATACAACAGGTACGCAACGAAAAAGAATTTCGTTTTTTATATGTAAGACTAACTAGGCGCGTTAGGTACTCAAACTTTCAATAGGTCTGTAAACTAGTAACCTCTTACGAACAGAAAAGCGTAAATTAATTATTTGGGAATATTAAAACAAGCAAAAATTTTAACAGTTTTTGCTAAAAAAATCAATGTGCTGCTAATTGTTTTTTCGATTTTCGTGGTTTAGTGCATCATGCATAAGTTCCATCAAACGTTTGCCGGAGTTAAGAACAGACCAAACGACAGAACTCTTCCAGAGAAAAAACCTAAAAGTAAAACATTCTTCCACATTCTCTCTAAACTTTTCCAGTCAGCGATATATCTATCTATCGTCTACGTCAGTCAAACGACAACAGAACGTCATTAGCTGCTAAAATTAGTATGGGTAACGGTATAACTACGTAATTAAAATATTATCAGATTCATTGGCTTTAGACGCGATAATGAATCGTTTCAACTGAAAACAGAGTCAAACCCATAATGCATGACTTTGCATTGTTTCATTCATTAACTCAAAGCAAAATCGAATCGCGTCCTTGGGCTGACTCAATTCATTCATTTGAAGTTTCGATTTATTCTTGTTGTCAAAAAATAAAATATTAGGAATCATCGTAATAAGAAAATCAAATGTTTAAAAAGAAATGTGTTTTTCATGCTCTAAACGTATACGACCTGGATAAACGTCCTTATTAATAAGCCCACATACTGTACACAGTTTATGCAATGTAACAATTATAAGCCGTTACGAATCAAAGTAATACAAATTGATGTGCGGAAGTGATCTTCTATTGACAATCCACTTTTGTTACGAAAAATAAGCCAACTGCCGTCTATCAATTCAATAGCAGAGTTGATTTTGTTGACGTCAGGTAATTTTCACAATTCAAATGATGATTGGATTAATTGAGGCACTCAAACAAATGATTATAATCACATGTGCTTCAGCGCTTCATTCACTTAGTATTTGTGTCGATAAAAAATAAAAATAAAAACAACAACAAACAAATATGGTAAAGTAATAGCTAATATATTATCAAAGTAACGGTATAATACGAATTACAAGCACCATTACTAAAATTAAAATAAACAAATTAACAACATTTAGCGCCGTTTCTTCAATGTCTGGTTAGCAGCCAATTGACAGTTAAGTTATGGATATTCTACTCTCGAAATTAAAAAAATTTTAAATGAAATAATAAAAATTTCAACTATAGATATATTTTGGGTTTACTGTTGTAACGATTATTTTTGTTCGTCAAAAACTGCTGAAATTCAAATCCCTAGGCTTTTAAATACTTAAAATTTTGGAGATACGATATTTTTGGTCTTGGAAATCCGCACAGAAGACGATCGATAGCATTCGACTGAAGAGAAAAATTATATTTTAGCTTTTTCTGGTTTTACTTGTGCCTCAAACGTCAGTGGCAACGAAATTTAAGGTTAAATTGTCGTCATAAAAGACGCGAATCTTCCAAAGGACTTACTATTAGGCCCGGAAATTGGAAATAGTCAACGAGATAGAGAACTAAATAATAAATTAACTCATGTAAGTCTCATTAAGGCGTTATATTACCCTATCATATTCCCCTACTGTATAGCCATACGAACTGACCGATCAAAGTCTTGTATGGAAAACTTTTTCATCAGACATCCTCCCTAAATTTAGTATAGATCATTTTCCAAGAAATCGTTACAAACTCTACACAAATTGCTCAGATCGGCCGACTATAGCATATAGCTGTCATACAAAATGACCGGTCAAATACAAGATAGAGATCTTTTTATACGCTATTATGCAATAAGTTAAATAAAAGTTTTTCTTGTTTACTATTATTATTTAAATATGAAATAGTTTTCTTTTTTTTTTAAGTTTTAGTTAAATTCATATTTCTGTTAACGAATAGTAAGTTAAAAGAAACAATAAAAATGTGTATCAAATAAATCAACGTCTGACGTGGTAGCCGGTGTCGGGCAAGTATTTTAATGCTGCATCACAAGACGGGAAAATATTTCACACAATATTTTGTTATTTTTTTGCGACACACCTTTTGCAAATGCAAATACCAAATTGCGACGCGAAACGCACGAAAAACGCAGGGAAAAGAATCAAAACAAAGTGAGTGCAGACAGACACCGACAAGAAACGAAACATGCGTGCGCTTATTTGCGCGACACCGAACACAGCACAACTGGAGAGTAGAGTCCAAGCCAAAATGCGACGAACCCAAAAAAAAAACAAAACAAATAAATAAAAACAAGAAAAAACATTAACGTATATTGCGCCGAAGCTAAATAC